AACTTAGTGAAAGTAATGTGTTGTTTTATGTAACATTTGTTATATGAATTTTGTAGAAAATCTTTTAAAAAGAGAACCTAGGAGATAAAAACTATAGATGCGGAAGGGGAAGGGGAAGAGGAAGAGGTAAGTGAAAAGATTGATTGCTACAAGAAATAGAAGCAAGCTTGAAGGGGTTTTTTGACCAACTCTATTTAGCAGCTCGGCCATTTTAGTGTTCATGTGTTATCTTGTTTTAAATAATACAAAAATTAACTCTTTTAAGTTTGACCTTGCATTCTATTTAGACTTGGTAGATACAAGTCTTGGAGTAACAACAACATCAAGAGCAGTAGATTGTAAAAAGAAGCAAGTTGCAGATGAACATGAGAAATGCACTTACAAAATATTTAAAAAATACATTCTTATTGAATGTTGACAATTATCATAGATTCACATCCAGAGACAATCAGTATCCTTTAATACTAAAACTTTGTTACTGCTAGGAAACTATCTACAAACATTTTTTGCAATTACGTATAATGTGATTACACCAATTATACTAATTTGAATAATTGTAGTGTACTCATGTTATCACAATTGTCTACAAAGGTGTCAATCTAAATGTTTGATATCTTGGATTATCTTCAAGTCGAAATCAAAAAATATGTCAACACACTAAAAGAAAGTATGATGAAAAATATTAAATTTATCAAAAATAACGAAAATACAGTTGATGATGATCTGGGCAATGTTGAATCAACAGATGACAGCAACAATGGAAATTTTATTAGAACATGAAAAAAAATTTTTTTGGTTGTAAATTTGTTTTTATTAAATAAATTTGTTTGATTTTTCATACATTGTTCATTTTTCGTCACAATCATGTATCTTAAATTTGTTGTGTTTACAATCATTTCATTGACATTCGTTATATTAAGGTTATTTTGATTATATCGAGAGATATGGTCAAGAGAAGAGTTAGGAAGAGAGTTATTATCCGACCAAGTCAAAAACCAACCCTTTAAATACATTTTCGAGTAGTACAATTTATTTTATTAGACTATTTCAACGGTTGCTTCCAACTTCTTAAATTCGTTAATGTAACAACTGTTGGTGAAGTGATTGTTGACAAAATGAATCAAACCCATATTTATTTCTACGTTTATCAAATTCGCAATTTTAATTGGTCAATCAACAAATAGCATGGGTTAAAATTTTGTGTTCCCTCCTGTTAATTTTTGTGTTCCCAGAACAGTCTCTCTTGTTAATGGATCCATATTGGCTTGCAATAAGTTTCAGGATAAGGGGCTTAATGTTATCCATTTCTGGCACAACAAAGAATTTACAAATATCCAAATGAGTTCCCAATAACTAAATGCAACTGGTAATTTTTTCGAAATAATAGACCAACAGGTTCTTCCTTAACATTAATTATAGATTATATCTGCAAAGCAATAAAGTTTCGCTCATACTGAGTTTTTTATTTTTTCCTATCTCTTAAACGGTCAGAGTATATTTTAATGGTAACACAAATTAAGGGTTTGATCATTCTTATTGGTCAATTTAACGATCAGCAAAGTAAAAACAGTCAATCGACCAACTTTTAAAGAAGTTTTTACAAAAACCATAAGGACAACAACTGGATTTTCATTTATAGATTAATCGGCTGAATCTCAAAGATCATTTTTGTATTAGAAAGTAATGCCCTCAGAAAATAAATTTTATATCAGAAAAATTTTATCAGCTATCAATAGCCAATAAGCTAATTAATGATTACACATATCCGATAATTTTCCACTACATGCTGAGAATATTTGAATTGAGATTATTTACCTACATACCTCACCATAATCAAATATCGCCTTTATGTCTTCCATATTTGATAGTTATATATCCCCCTTCCATGACATGCATATACCTATTCTGATTTTGATATTGCATATACTGTTTTGGGTTTGTAGTAAATTTGCCTTGAGTTTTGTGTTTATTATTCTTAGAATTGCAAGTCATATATATTAATATTAATATATTATGTATAATGACGTATTGTATCAAAGTATTGAGACACATTCAATTTTTTTTTTCTTGTTAAAGTGATCGGCGTGAACAATTGCTCAAGCACACGTGATTTTGATGAAAATAAATAATAATAACGATACGTCTAACGTCAATCATTTCAAAGAGTAAAAAAAAAATAATTTTAACTAAATCATAAGAAACGTCTCATTTTTTTCATCTCATGCTTCCCAAAAAATTGTGTTTAATAAAAATTGATTTTTTTATCAGCTCAATGCTCACTCGATCTGTTCGTTCGTTCGTTCGCTCATGTATAATGAGCACTCTTCTACAACGTCTTATTTTCCCGTACGACTGTTTATTTACAAATATAGGCAAACAACAAATTTATTATTTATTTGTTACAAAAAAAAAAAATAGTAGATCAAAACCAAAAATCATACAATCCATCCCAAGTAAGGAAAAAAGCAGTGTTACGGGATTTGAGTAATCTTTTATAAGTGTTAATAATGTTAATAATAATAATAATAATAATAATAATAATAATAATAATAATAATAATAATAATATAACTGATATGATGCTATTGTCATTTGGTAAAATATGCACCATATGCGAACGATTTCCGGATAGGTTACACCTTTATCCCTGTGTTCAGAGGGATACAGCTTTAGCCTGGCGAGGGATAAATATAAATACACGGATATATATCTGATCACCTGGTCCGTAGATCTTGAGTGAATTATCCGACCGATACCCAAAGATCGATAAAATAGATAAGGGGGATACCCCTCTTATATGATTTCCCAGGTTGAGGCTTTATTCCTACGAACTGAGGGATAAAGTGTAACCTTTCGGAAATTGTCCGCATGGGCTGAAAATAAGAAGTTAATTTTCCTTGGTTTAAACTTTTAAAATTATACAAATTAAGTTCATGATAATCTAATTCTAAATCATCATTATCTTGTTCAAAAAATTTGTGAACAGTTTCAAAAGCAGCAACAGCATCTTTAATAAGGAGTTATAAACTTTTAAAATCATTGACCATTATAGATGCCCCGCACTATAATAATAGATAGTATGGAAACCAACTGGTTTCTCACATTTTTAATAATAGCAATACTTGTTGCTTTAATTTTATTAGTAATTTATCTAAAATTCTTTGTGAAATCAGTCATCATAATAAAAATAAAATAATGATTATAATAAATTAATTCAAGGTATAAATATATATACACACACTCCCTGGACAAAAGTATTCAAACATCTATTTTTAATAATCATGCAAAGACTTACATAAAATTTTATCAAAATGTAGCTTAGGTTTTGATATTAAAAACCCGAAACTCGACGAAAACGGCAATGATAATCTATTGTTAATATTAATTATTGAAAAAAAATAAATGCGATTTTAATTACCAAATTTTTATTTTTATTTACACTGGCTGAAGTTCTAAAAATTCTGCATTCATATTCTTGATAACCTAAGTTATAAGTTGATATAAATTTCATTGTTATTATTATGTAGGATTTTGCGTAAATTTGAATAATTAGCAATAGATGATCATTAAAATTTTTCTAGGCAATCTAACCTAAAGCTATCTAATTAGTCAGTCAGCAGTGACGATGATCCTCGGCATTAATATTAAGCAGAGCTGCAGAAAGCGCAGAAATATTAGATTTGTAAGTGTTGAATATCTAGTAAAAAAGCATGTCACGATTTTGTTAAAATTTTTTAATTAATAATGAGAAGACGTTGACACCCTGGTCACTTGATGGTCAATTACTGTATCATGCTAGAAAGTTCTTCTGATGAATCCTCACTAAAAGAATTAAATATGATATATTGTATTCTAATTAATTTTTAATTTCACCGAGTATAATAATTTTTAATTAAATAATTTTATATTTTACAATTTTATTATTTTCAAAATCATTGGCAGAATTGCAAAAAACATGAACAGAATGATTTTAATAGTAATCGCCGACAGATTTTTTTAAATTCCTTGGCAATTTATTTTTTAATCAAATTTGGAATCCTCTTACGTGCATGCATACTATCCTACAAGTAGCATTGTCATTTTTTTTGCAAAATTATATCTTACACAAATAATATGATTTATATGATTTAGATTATTTTATTTTTTTTATTTACGATTTGTTAATTTCTTGGCATGAACTTTGTTATATAATAACATAATTGGTTTTTTTCCTTTTTTACACATTACTAAAATTATCGAGTAACCATTTATTATGCGAAAAGTCTTTAATGGGAATATAAGAGAGACATTTATTCTTCAATTTGAGTTATTTATATGAAAAAAAAAAAGGAGTGAAACACTGGTTTGTTAGGGTGAATTAATTCAATCATGTGTAGAAAATCTATTAGTGATCTGCAGAGATAAAATTTTTCTATCAACGCATTTATATTTATTCTAGCATATATTATGGATACTATTTATGACAAATGGTAAGAGCTTTAATTAAAAAACGGATTCTGATAATAATAAAAAAACCAAACTTTAGGCAGAAAATTTATTGTTTAAAAGATTTTTTCGTAATAAAAACCCAACCCATACCCATGTTCTATGTTTAGTACAAAAAAAAAAATTTCAAATTTACTATTAATATGTTGATTATCTCTGTAATTTTTTAGTAATTATTATATTATTAATATGTAAATTATGTAAATTAATAAATAAATAAAAATTATAATGTATTATTGTATGAGTAAAAGAAAATTATTACTATTATTATTGCTATTATATTATTACCATTATTATTTAAAAAGTTAATGAATATGAAACAATTGTAATGAATGCTGTTATACTAAGCCCAATAAAGGAATTGACTGTTAATAAATTAGCAGAAGGAGTAGTAGAAGAACTGTATTGATAGTTGTTAATAGATGTAGATGAAGCTTTTTTAGTTGCTTCAGGTTTGCTAGCAGCAGGAGTATTAGCAGCAGGAGTATTAGCAGCAGGAGTAACAACTGCTGAGGCAGAAGGAACGGCGGTGGTGTTGCTAGTAGTATCACCGTCAAAAGCGGGTTGGCCTACACAATCAGCAACAGTCTTAATGTTGAATCCAGCGCTCATAACTATATCAATAGCTAGTGGAGCTTTGGCGGCAGATTGTTTAAACATATCATGTTCCAAAGAAATATAACCAGTTGTTGATGGTTCTTTTACCCATTCAGAAAAGTTTCCTCCGATCCAGCTTACATCATAGTTTAGATTTTCTGAGACCATCCAATCGTTCGGGTCTTTATCCCATATAACAACTTTATAACCTAATTCGTTGGCGATGTATCTTATACGATCATCGTGATCTCCTTGTGGTGGTCTCATGACTACAGGTTTTTTACCAGTTGCTTCTTCAATAGCTTTTGCGGTCCATTGCAACTCAGCTATAACAACTTCGTTTGTTTGTGTTGTTAGTGCTGTGTGCGACCAAGTGTGGATTCCAATTTGATGCCCTATAATAAATTTTTTTTTAAAAAAAAAAAGACGGGAAATTCATTTTACTATTTTTTTTTTTTTTGGTTAGAAAAAAAATCACGAGAAAAATCGGGAGTTTGTCTTACCTTCATCAAAAGCTCTTTTTGTAATTTCAGGATGTTCGCTAACTCTAGAACCAATAACGAAAAATGTTGCTTTTACATTTTTTGCCTTAAGATGATCTAAAATTGCTGGTGTAAATTCTCTGTATAATAATAATAATAATAATATATTTTGGTTCAATAAATAAAATTTTAATTGAACAAATGAGATAGATTATATATTATTATCAATCAATGTGCTTACGAAGGACCATCATCGTATGTAATGCCCCAATCTTTTGCATTGGGACATGTTTTGATATCGTTAGGTTTTAAACAAAGTGTACAACTCCAATAACAAAAGGGATCAGAATTACCATCACAAGGTTGACTTGGCGCTTTTCTGACTGGAGCTTTTGGAGCTTTAGTCAAATCAACCAAAGCAGTAAATTTCGGATTAGCTGGTGGCGCTACATCAACTGGTGGGTAACCTTTTAGTTTCTGTTGAGCCTCTATATTCAATGGTGCCAATGCCAACAAGCATCCCAAGATTATTGATAATAATGTATCTTTTTTCATTTTTTATTTTTTGTTTTATGTATATGTATATTTTTTTTTAATATGTTATATGATAAGAACTCTTTTTTGATGGTTCAAATTTTTAGTATTTATATAATGAAAAGCAAGGTACGGGAATTTTTTGTTTAGTTAAAAATAAAATCCCGTTAGGAAGGGCAAGATAATGTGGAGGAATATGGGGGGGGGGTTTATAAGGAAGGAAGTGAAAGGAAGTATGTGGAAGGAAGGAAAGGTGAAACGACGAAGATAATGAGAAAAAATTATTACTTTTTCTAATTGTTGTTGATATCGAGAGAAGAAAAAATACATTGCCGTTATATATGTGGGATTTTATTAAATAATAAGAGATCAGGCCAAGACTTTCACAAGATTCCAAAAAGATCATTTACCAATAACCAATTTTGTTGAAGTTACATACAATGAAAACAAGTGCTATAGAATAAAATAATGAGTGTTATTTGAATTTGATTATCTATCTACATATAAAGAATAAATGAATTTTAAAATTCTATTATTATTTTTAGATTATATGTGTATATGGCAATATTTAATTTAAATTACTGGATCATCATAGGGTAAAATAAATCCATATTAATGCCGTTTATCGTTAGATCCTGGATTTCCCTTCATATTCAATATACTTCGTGGTTATTACGTTATTTTTAAAAATAAAATTTTCAAATTTATTCAATTAAAATTAATGGACATATGAATAAAACCAATTCAAAGTTTAAACTTTTTTCCACTTTTACAATTTGTATTACAGAGGTTCTGGCCGGGTTTCTTTGGAATTCCAAATATAGTAGATAGTTTTAACTTTACTAGAACTTGACCGAAATTCTGGAGAATTTTTTTTGGTTTTAACGATGAGATGAAAATTACGACCCTGTGGTGCAAATACCCATTTGAAGCGACTTTTCGTCGAGTCTCTCTTCCTTTTTTTTTTTAAAAAAAAAGAATTAAGTTTATGCAATAAACTGTGTAAAGAAAATCAAAATCAGCCAAGACTTTTTTTTAAAATTTGGGTGATAACTTTTGTTTCATAAAACCCCCAAAATTATTTTCATTTTTGTATTTAGGATGCACCTTGGCGGAAGTAAGTTTTTTTTTTGTTATTTTACAATTTCGACCAAATCTCAGGATTATCACGTTTTAAAAACACGGTTGAAACTTACGCGAGAAGGTTTCGGCTATAGATGTATTAGATTGTATTTTCTATTTATTTTTTTTAACAATTTATTTAATTTATTTGAATGCATAAAAATGCCAAATAAGTAAAATAAAAAATATATATATCAAAAAAAAACAATATATGCAAATATTAATCTATACATTTTTGTTTATATTATATTATATTATTATTATGTATTATTTAAAAAAAAAAGATTGAAAAAATGACTGTGCTAATAATCCAAATATAAATATTATTATTATTATTTCTTGCGGCAGAATTAGGGTTTACAGGTGAGGTTGTTGGCGCTGAAGTTTTAGTTGTGCTAGGATTTTGATCTAATTTTGGAGGAGTTGATGAGTTAGTAGTAGATTCAATGTATGCTGGTAGATTTGCACATGTTGCAACATCTTTCATATTCCAACCCGCATTCAAGACAATGTCGATAGCTTTAGGTGCCATTTTGGCAGTTTGTTCGTACAAATCGTGTTCCAAACTCATATGACCGGTTGTTTTGTTTGTTACCCATTGAGTAAAGTTTCCAGTAATCCAATTTAAATCAAAGGTTGGATCTCCGTTCGACTTCCAATCAAAAGTGTCATAATCCCATATAGCAATGTTATAACCTAATGATTTCGCTATGAATCTTATACGATCATCATAATCTCCTTGTGGTGGTCTCATAAACTTGGGAGTTGCACCAGTTACTTCTTTGACGACTTTTTCAGTCCATTTTAGCTCAGATATAACTTCTTCGTTTGTTTGAGTTGTTAAAGGTTTGTGTGACCAAGTGTGGATTCCGATTTGATGTCCTATAAAAATTATTAATTATAATGTTAATATTGTTTATTAATGATAAAAAATAAAAATCATCATTCGAATTTAAAGATGTTCTTAATTCACCTTCATTAAAAGTTCTTTTTAAAATATCAGGATTTCCCATAACTCTGGAGCCAATAACAAAAAATGTTGCTTTTACATTTTTTGCTTTAAGATGATCCAAAATTAGTGTTGTAAATGGTCTACACACACACATAAAAAATAAAAAAATGCAAAAAAAAAATTAGCAAAGTTGATAAATTAGAAACAATATTCTAATTAACAACGATTTTTATTATAAATAAAACACTTACGAAGGACCATCATCGTAAGTTATAGCCCAGTCTTCAATAATGATAATAAAAAAGAATTAATGATTTTGTCGTTTCAGTAATTTAAAAGTTATCAAAAAACAATAAAAATATATATTTACCATTTTGTTTAGGGCATTTCACGATATCGTCTGGTTTTGTACAGATAGTACAAGTCCAAGTACAAAAAGAGTCTAGTGTGTCAGTACAATCACTTGGCAATTTCCTAACAGGAGCCTTTGGAATTTTGGTCATGTCAACCAAAGCATTCCATTCTGGAACTGATGGCGGAGTTAAATCTAAAGGTGGGTAATCTTTTAGTTGCGCCTCTATGGGTGTTGGTGATAATGTTAACAGACAAAATAAAAGTCCAATAAATAATAATAAATTTGTCCTTATATTCATTTTATTCAATTTTATTCAATTACAATATTGAAAAAATCTTGGCACAAAAAAAAAATTTTATTTTTTTTCAAATAGAGACGAGGCGGTATATTGTTATGGATGTAAAGTATGTGCAAGAGAATGTAGGTAATTGGTGTATCCGGTCAACAGATAAAAAAAACCAATGTAAAAAAATATTCGCTTATATTAAAAAAAAGATTTTAAAAAAAAATTATATATTTTCAAATCTCGCTAATTTTTTTTTTTTGGGAATTTTTAATATATTTATATGTTTGTATAAATCAACAATAGAATAAATTTCTTTATAGATGCAATATAAATCGTGTCAATAACATTTCTCGTTAAAAATAAACATTAGCACAGGTCAATAATACTTATTATTTATGCATTAATGGTTTAACCAAATTAGGTTCTTTGTATTTTCGCATGTATGTAATTTAGTATTATTAGAAGGAAAACAATTAAAAAAAATTTTATTTGATGATTTAATTATTTGTTTGAAATAATTGACAAATAAAGAAAGTATTATCAAAGGAAAAAATATTCTTTTTATCTCCTCAGCCTCTTTATCTTCCACAAATATATTTTTATCATCATTTTTTTTTAAATGCGAGTGGAGGACCCTGGAAAATTTCATGAGAACTTTTGTTGTGTAACTATTATAAATATTACAATATACTGAATTTAGAAAATTTATAAAAATTAGCCATGTATAAGCAAAGAATTTCTAAATAGAATATTTTGTTTCAAAATATAACCATATAATTTTTAATAATAATAAATAATTTTTTATTGGAAATTTATTATTCATATGCGCATTGCAGGAAACTTCTAATCGAGATCCCAGTATAAAAATGTCACTATTACTATTAACTCATATCTAAAATTTACTTACAAATGTATTAACCTTTTTGTTATTGGGCACGGTTTATTAACATATCTAGAAATGATCGGTCTGTATTTCAAAAAAGATAGACAATTTATATGTGAAGAATATTATAAAATCGTTTATTAATATAGTTTTTTAGTAGCGAAGTTTCCAAATTTGTTAGTCATTAATTTCAATTTGAACGTTGCATGTTAAACATATCTTTTGATAATTTTAACATAAGCGCGTGTCTTTTTGGGGAACAGTGTACAATGATCATTGTGCATATAATCGAACTTTATTACATGATATCTAGGGGTAAGTAAAATATATGGGGGGGGGGGGGCAACTCAATGTTACACATATAGATGTTTGCAGATCTTCCAATTCCCACTCCTAAATTAAAAAATGTCATACGCTTCATAGTAAAAAAGAGAACTTTACATAGAAAACTTTACACACAAGAGTTTTTGAACAGCCGATGCAAAAAAATTAAGTTATTATTGTTGAAAGCTTTATACTTCTCAAATTTTCTTTTGATCGGGCTCGAAATGACATTGTTAATTGTTAATTACCAAGAAACATATATTATATATAAGATTAATGACAATTATATTCATTTTACTTCTGTTTGCAAACAAACTACAGGCGATAACAAAATTAAAACGATTATAATAAGCATAGATATTGTGTGAATGATAAGCAGGTAAAGAAGTGATATATATACTCACACACATATATAAACTATTATTAAATTATTAAAAATATATATATAATAATAAGAAAAAACAATATTTTTTTTATTATTTCAAAGGTTACAACTAATATATAGAACATGATAATCAGGTAAAGAAATAATATATATACGCACACTCATACATACATATATATAAACTATTATTAAAAGTATATTTATTTTTATTATTTCAAAGATGACAGAGAAAAACAAGGCGGTGTATATATAGAATAATAGGTATACTTCATGTGCATATTTAATACTATTAAAGATTGGTTATTAAATTTACATGTAGGAAAGGATATTATTATTATTATGTATTTATTTTATGCAAAGGAATGTTACTGAAAAAAACATATGCGTAGCATTTATAATTATGCATTCTGTTTCATAATAAAGAATTCACATCTACGTTTTACCATTAATTAAACATATCATTTTCAATAAAAGTTTAAAAGGATAAATTATTTTATTTCTTTCTCCAACAATGTTGTGATATTTTTTATTAATATTAATAAAGAAAACCAAATTTCAGAGATTAAAAACAAAGTTTATATTGTTTAAAAGTTGTATACATATATAAAAGCTTGTAAATAGTACGTGTAATGTTGAAAATACAAAGAAAAAATATTTTTTACAACCGATGGTATTTTTTTGAAGCTTTAGGAAAGATACTTTGAAAAAAATTATATCAAGAGAAAGCTGAAGATTTTTTCTTACAAGTATGAAAATTTTAACCAATATTAATTTGAGAATTTTTGGTGTACAATATGTACATGTTTCACGCTTTATTTATTTTTACTAATAAACACTATATAGTAATTTCATAGGGGCGACAGTTTTGAAATTGACAACTATATATTAATATGTGTAACATTTAGTTGTCCCCCCATATTAATATATTTACTTACCCCTAGATGATATTAATCTATTTTGTACTGGTTACGTGATTCCATGTTTTACAGTGTATCTCGATTTAATGGGTATATTCTTTACATATGTAAACTCGATAAGTCGGTCATGTGGGGGTGAGCTCATATGACCGACTTATCGAGTAAACCGACTTATCGAATTAAATTACTTAAATATTAAGAAAATGGGGTGAAAATTTTGGCCGTCTTATCGAGTAACCGACTTATTGAATTTACATATGTATTCGTTAATTTGAGATATCTGTAAAAAGCATCTTTATAATCAAATCACGTGATATCAGTTATATGTTAATCTCTCCATAAGTGCACCACCCTCTCTATAAATGCATACACTCCATAAATACATATCTCATTACCAACTTTGAAGGTTAGAGATAAATACGCACCCTTCATACTCTACATCGCATTGTTTTTTCCCAGTCCCATTTATATTCTCTAAATGCACGCCCGCGACTTTCACGTGATTAATGTGCAGCAAGAAAATAAATCAATCATTGTCGCTGTTTTTTCTTTTTTCTTTCTCTATTAATCCCTCTTTGAGAATTAAATTGATAAAGACTTAATTTGATTATATGTCCTGTTTAAACATATAAAAAGAAACCAGAAATACTTACTGATAATAATGAAGAAGATGATTATAGCACTTTAATCATAAGTTCGAAAAAAGTTTGGAAGTTGTCCACGCTTTTTTACTACAACAAGAAAATTCTAAAGAACAAGTTAATTTTGTTGATAGGGATGTCAATTTAAAAAAATAAATTCAATGAAGCAAACCACAATGAACAATTTTCTTTTAGCATTGTATGACAAGTGTCGCGTGGAACCAATAAAATTCTTTCTCTCTATTAAAATGCACGCGCTCTCAACCATTCCCGAGGTACTAAAAAATTCTGACAATTACACTAGTTCAAAATAGCAATGATCTTCATTATGGGTTCTTAAAAATATCCGATAAATCAAATATATATGGACCGATAAATCAAGATGATTTATAAATAATCGTTATCTATAACACACAGATTCGGTTTTGAAATTTATCAATCGAGATGCACTATGTATGTATTGCCGTGTGCGGAATTATTTTCTACCTTTCTGCCTTTCTGCCTTTTGTTCTTGTTGAATTACATTATAATTTGATTTTTTTGCCAAAGGCGGACATTTAAATAGACAGGTTTGAAAATTTCTACTATATAGTATGAGATGTGCAAAGGATCTAACATCACGTGGTAGCCAACCAATGGAATGAATATTGGCTAAAATTTTGACCGCACGCATTATCATGATTTTTTCATTATATGCCAAGTTGCCAAGTAAATTAGATTGATCATTCTATGTCCAACGTTTGTTTATTTTTAAATGACCAAATAGCATTTTAAAAACTTTCTAAAAACAGTAATTGTCAAAAAACATTATTTTATTTAAATTCGAGATTTCTTATTTATTTTTAGCAAATTAAAAATAGAGACAAAAGATCTGCCAGGGAGAGAGGCAAAGTTTTTAGAATGAATGAGTGAAGGCAAAGATCCATCTTTGTAGATATTAATTTTTAAAAATATAAGTGTTATGCTCTTTCATACAATTTAATAATAGCTTCACTAACCATTTATGATTTATAAAACTATGACGACAATCACAATTCAAACATGCGTTTTAATACATACATATATCATTATAAGTAGTGATGCAATGAGAGCAATCTTTATATCAAATAACAAAAAAAACTTTATATAAATACTTGAAAAAAATAACATTCTCTGAAATTTTTTTTTTCTTTGAACAAATTTGTTTTACATCTTTTTGTCATAAATAAAGACATTTATAACAATAACAACATTAAAAAATCTAGTAAAAAAAATTTGCTTAATAATAAAATCACGAAGAAATCATGGCAAAGAAATTATTTGTTGTTATTGCTATTTTGTCATCTGCAATATTCACAGAGGCGCAAGTGCCTACTACAACTTATCCACCAGTTGATGTACCACCACCGTTTAAACCAGAATGGGCAATCGACTTGAGTCAAGTCCCAAATGCTCCAATTGTTCCAAAAAATAAAGTAGGTTCGGATTGTCTTGCTAATGACCCATTTTGTGATTGGAGTTGTACAAATTGCATAAATCAAACTACTGATTATGATCGTTGTCCTGATAAAAATGGTAAAATTTCAAAATTTTTTATTGTTTTGTTATAATTAAGTGTATTTAATTAATTAATTATTAATTAATTTTTATGAAACATAGTATGGGGTATAACTTATGATGATGGTCCTTCGTAAGTAAAATAAAATAAAATTTCATTTTCTTTTATCTATCTATATATTCGAACTCGAAATAATAATAAATATTTATTTTATATAAATAAACAAATAGAGAATATACACCGGCAATTTTAGATCATCTTAAGGCAAAAAATGTAAAAGCAACATTTTTCATTGTTGGCTCCAGAGTTACGGAAAATCCTGATATTTTAAAAAGAACTTTTAATGAAGGTGAATTAAAAACATCTATAAAATTAAAATTATATGAATTTTGACATTAATGAATGATAATTTACAATTTTATAGGACATCAACTCGGAGTCCACACTTGGTCGCACACACAATTAACAACTCAAACAAACGAAGAAATTATAGCCGAGATAAAATGGACTGAACAAATCATCAAAGAAACAGTTGGCGTGACTCCTCGCTTTATGAGACCACCATATGGCGATATAGATAATCGTGTTAGAGGTGTACTTGCCTTATTAGGATATAAAGTTGTTATATGGGATCATGACACAGATGATTGGAAGTCAACATATGCAGGTTTTGTACCGGATTCTATTACTACAGATTTTACTGAATGGGCAAAAAATACAACCGCAACCACTGGTCATATTTCTTTGGAACATGACTTGTATCCTATAGCTGCTAAAATGGCAATTCCATCCCTTGATATTGTTTTGGGTGCTAATTTTCAAGTAGAACAAGTGGCCAAGTGTGTATCTGAATCTCCATATCGTGAATTTATTGGTTTTCCTGGTGATAATTCTACTAGCCCAACTCCAGCAATTACTACTAGTGCCATGACACCAACTACAGCAACGGCATCGACAGCGACGCCAATATCATCACCAAAACCATACAGTTCTAACCCATCATCATCATCATCATCAATATCATCATCACCATCATTAACATCAAATATTTCGTTAGCAGTAGGAATAATTAGCATAATACTCACGTTTAATGTTTTACTTTCTAATATTTAATTATTAAGATGTTTGATTATTAAGATTTTTATACATTTATGAAATAAAATTCAATATTTATTAATATAATAGAACAAATATACATATGTATGCGATGAATTTTATAAATACTTGGTATATATATATATATACGATAAATATATATAGTACTTTGCATTATAAATTATATTCAATTCTTCTTCAACAAGGAAAAATATCTCTAAATTTTTTATAAAACACAATGCGTAATCCGTTTCTAAGCTAAAATTATCCTCGACACGTCAATACCAACTGCATGCTAACATTTCTTGATTTTAATCCATTCGTTCACACTCACCTCTTACACAATCTTTCCACGCTATTATCACTAAGATTTGGTAAAACCGGTCGTTTTATTTTTCACGCATTTTCCGTCAATGATTAATAACCATTATTATTTTAATTAAAATGTCGTTGTTTGAGAAAATGTTTTTAGCGTTATAAAAATTATAAGTCATAAAACATCTGATTAATGTTAGGGTGATGTCCATTTAACCGTTGCAAAGGAATTTTTTTAATTAGAAAATTTTCTCCAAAACTTCTTCATGCATATTTAACATTTCTACATAAATATATATTTCTGCTACAGAGGACAAATATATTCTTTCTCATATTCTCATGATAACTGCTATTACCATTTATTAGATTATTTTCTTTATTTTTTTTATGATCTGTCACAATTAAACTTTTCTTGTCACGACTACAAAACGACAAAGTAATTTCTTATTTTATTTTATTTTGATTTTGATTCTTAAGATTAAACAAAATAAAATTACTCTAACGAATATCAAAAATTAAAATTATTATATATATTTATTAGAATAATATGCTATATATTAATACATCTTAATCCTGGGTAAGCTTCTAGACAAGTAAAAGTACACATGTTTATAATTTTGAGACTTGTACATCCATTTAATAAAGCTCTTGCCAAGTTTTTCTTTCAAATTCTCACATTTATTATATTTGGTATATCAGTCGCAGGACATTGCGGATCTACAGGGGGTCAAGTGTATAAAATTTTTTGACCAACACGAATTTTATATGAAAAAATGAAGAAAAAAATCACGGTTTCATACACAAACTTGCCTGAATTAATCAAATTGTTGCTTGAATCATAAAAAATAACAAATATATGAAAAAACCTTTATTTTGATGTATTTTTGCCAGGGTAAACAAATACCACTAAGCGATAATCTTAACATGAAGTTGGACTACCAGTTCTATAAGTTCTATA